CTCCCACTCCCCCTGCTTGTGTTCTCTCTCTCGCTGTGTCTCTCTCTGTCAAATAAATAAATAAAATTAAAAAATAAAATAAATAAAAAGCTTCCGAATCTGAAAGGTGAAAAATGGTATCTCATTTTAATTTGCATATTGTGGATTTTTAATGTGGTTAACTTAAAAAAAAGACGTTTAACCAGCTAAGCATCCTCTTCTAAGAATTTTATTTATTTATTTTTTAAGATTTTTATTTATTTATTTGACAGAGACAGCGAGAGCAGGAACACAAGCCGGGGGAGTGGGAGAGGGAGAAGCAGGCTTCCCGTGGAGCAGGGAGCCCGATGTGGGGCTCGATCCCAGGACCATGACCTGAGCCGAAGGCAGACACTTGACCGACTGAGCCACCCAGGCGCCCCAGAATTTTATTTTTTTTAATTTTAATTTTAATTTTTTTTCCTCTTCTGAGAATTTTAAAAAATATCTTTTGTCCATTTATTTTCTGTTTGATTCATGGGAGCCATGGCAAAGATATTAGGTTTCTCTCTGATATAAATGTTGTGAAGACATTTTTTTTTCCTTAAATGATTCATGGTTTGCCTTTTAATTTTAATCCTTTATACATCTTTTACACACCTGAACTTTTAATTTTTTTATGTGGTAAAATCTACACTTTATTTTTTCTGTAGCATTCCTCTGCTTTTAAGCTTAGAGAGTCCTCTCCCATTCAAAGTCAACTAAAGACTCACCTAGAATTTACTCTCAGTCTTTAATGTTTGGTTTGCTTTGCTTTTGCTTTAATATAGTTAACTAGTTACTCTGTCTGGAATTTACTTGTTAAGCTGGTAAGGAGTGAAGTTCTAAGCTGATTTTTCCTCCCTAAATAGCTAACTAATTATCCTAATACCACGTACTGAAGGAGGGCTCTCCTCCACTCGTGTGTGAATGTGGAGACGGCGTCTGCTAGGACCACACAGCTTCCAGGCTGCATTCTAGCGCTATCTACTTGCACCGTGGCATGGAAGTGAAGTATGTCATCCACTTGGCTCCCAGTTGCTGGAGCCATGAAATGGGATAAAGAAAAACAGTTACCTCCTTCAAGGACCCAGATAAACGTAAATGGTATTCCAGTGCAAAACAGTCATCCCCTTGTTCCTGCTTAGGGGGAGCTCCTGACTGGGGTGAGGAGGCAAGCAGGCTGCTCCAGGCACGGCGAATATTAACTGGATGCCGAATTCCCAGGGAGGAAAAGGGGGATTTAATGATCAGTATCCAATTTTCCGTTGTAATACTGGTTGGTTTTAACACAACATGACCTCAGCCAGCTTACTAAACACTGCAGCTTGTCAAGGTTTAATTACTTGTTGCAAAGTCAGGTAAAGAAGGATGAAAGGTGCAAAGAGCCAGCAAGGAGACCAGAGCGCGTGCTTCCCGGGTGGTCCCGGTGCCCAGCCCAACTCACCGAATGCTCTTCTGAGTCAGACGTCTGGGACGAGATGATGGGGTTAAAGCTGGTTGGGGACAGGGGGCCCAATTTTTTCCTCATGGCCCGGATCTGGAGCAGTGCCCGGAAGGCTAGAAGAAGGAAACAGAACATCAGGCCATCCCGGTGCAGGAGTCAGGATGAACAGGAGCCGGGGCACAAGCCACAGGGCCCCCTCCCGCGCGCCGGGCAGGCGGTCAGTTTGCAGACCCTCCCGGTGGGTCTCGGCCTGCGGCTCTGGGACTCACGCAGGCGGCAGATGGGGCAGTTGTTGGCCTGGTAGCGCAGGGTGTCAGCACACGTGTTACACAGACAGAGGTGGCGACAGGGCAGAATCAGAGTGTCCCGCACATCCGAGAGACACACCACACACTCGGCACTGTTATCGCTTACTTCATCCTCAGCCACCTATCCCGGGAGACAGAAACGTAGCCAGTGACACAAAGACCTTGGCGTCCTCTGTTTTCTTTGCAAGCAGCTTGCCTGAAGAGCTGAGACGGGGAGTAAGAATAAAATCTTACATTTACTTTGGACTTTACAGTTTAGCACGTGCGTTTGCATACTGGGTTTCACTTATTCTGGGAGCTGTTTATCTCAAGCCATCCTAGGGGGCTCAGACGGTCGGGGCAGAGACATAAGGAGACCACACGGGGAAGGGCGGTGGCCATGTGGGAACTCTGCAGGGTAGCCGGGTAACTGAGCGGCCAGACCTCTGCAGAGGAACTCCTCCAAACCTGCCAAGGCTTTTCATTTCCAAAGCGATGTAAGCATAAGCATCTGGAATGAGGAAGAAAATACCCTCCTCGGACCAAACTGATTCCAGAGTTTGGCATGCTAAACCCCTAGATCCTAGCTTCATCAGAGCGTTTCTCCCTCTGCCTCCTGGGAAAAGTACATTCAGAATTTTGGATAGAACTTGCCTTAGAATCTTGTGTGTTGTACTTGTTTTCAATTCCATAGATCTCCTGAAGGAGGTAGCTGACCCCATCTACCTGAAGAGCAAACAGCAAAGTTCAAGGGCAGGCTGACTCCTGAGAGAAAGTGGGAACTCGCCCCTCAACCTTCTCTGGTAACCAAGGACTACTGATCCACAATGGAAAAAATCAAAGGCCTAGACAAGTAAAGGATGCTTTTATTTACTTATGTTTTCTCTTTGACAGGGAAAAGAAAATCAAATGTTTAATTCACCCACCATTATGCCCAAGAGGGAACATAAAACTACTACAACACTAATTGTGTACTGCAGCTCACTGTTACGGACAGGAAAGCATAGTTAGGAAAGGCACAGACTAGCAAAAGGGTGGAAGAATATGCATCAAAATAAAAGCATTAGCTATATAATAGAAGTGAAGTGTGGACATTATAAAAATAAAGGAAAGGAGGGGCGCCTGGGTGGTGTAGTCAGTTAAGTGTCCAGCTCTTTGTTTCGGCTCAGGTCATGATCAGGTGGCGAGATTGAGCCCTGCATCGGGCTCCATGCTGAGCACAAAGTCTGTTAAAGTTTTTCTCTCCCTCCCTGCCTCGTGCTCTCTCTAAAATAAATAAATCTATTTTTAAAAAGATTTTATTTTTTAAAGATTAATTAATTTATTTTTAGAGAGAGAGAGCGCACAAGCGGGGGAGGGGAGCAGAGGAAGAGGAAGAAAGAGAATCTCCTGCAGACTCCCCGTTGAGCACGGAGCCTGATGCAGGGTTGGGTCCCACGACCCTGAGACCACGACCTGAGCTGAAATCAAGAGTTGGACGCTTAACCAACTGTGCCACCCTGGAGCCCCATAAATAAATAAATCTTAGAAAAAAATAATAAAGGAATGGAACAGAGAAAGAAAGAGAGGAGAAACAGGCAAGGGAAGGAGTGGAAGGGAAAACATGAGAAGAGAGACAGAAAGAGAGTAGGACCTTGAAGGGGAGGCCGATTGAGCCCCTCCACCTGCACGAGCCACCCCACCACCCACATGGCCAAGGAGCCCTCTTGGCCCTATTCCTTAAAACCCCAACTTCAATGCCCACTTGCCCTAGCCTGGGCCATGTCAGTGCCAAAGCAGGCCCTTCCCTTGTTTCTCTCTGTGAGCCCACTCCTCCCTCTGCTTCACCTCTGTCCCACTGAGGTCCTCCCCTAAGACTGAGCCTGTCACTGATTTCATATCCCACTCTCCAGTTTGACAGAGTCTGTGGCTAATGTCAAGCTGGCAATAGGAAAATAGAGAAACCATTTACCTTGAGCTACCCTAGCCTTTCCATCCTCTCTAGGTGTCCTGGAGAATGAGGCCTCCCCATGAGACAACTCACCAAGGCTTGGCCTTCCCAGGCAGTACCCTGGGCTCAAGATCTGTTTTCTCCTCTACCTTTTAAAACTTGTTTCAACCTACTAATTGATTAAATTGGAAAGGATATTATCAACAAATTTATACTCAGGTGTTACTGACTGCTACTGACCTCATGAAGAGGGAAGAACATTTAGCCACCAAGAATGAATAATGCATCTATCACGCATCTGCAGGGGAGCCCGCCAATGCCCCTGGCACCACTCTCCCCTCCTCACTCTCTCTGACTCTGCTCCCACTCCGGCAAAAGTGGAAAAAAAAGTACTGGCACCTAGCAGGGGTTAGGGGCAGAACTTGCCGGTCATTCTGGAAGGGGGCAGGTGGCCAGTAAACTTGGGATTGTAGAAAAGCGGTGGTGGGATGAATTAGGGCCCTGGGCTTAATTGGCTCTGAATTGGACCCCAACACTTTATCCTTTAGCTTGGAATGTTTCTCACCCTGGCATTTTAAATAAAAAGAGCTCTCCCTAAACCTGATGTCAAGAGACAAATCTTGTCCTTTCATTTCTCAAATCCTTTGCTCACATAAGAGCTGCTGCAACACCAACAATTCTGGAACAATAAAGACACCCAACATCAGTATTCCTTTCAGGCCACCCAAGGAGTTTCTAACACACAAAAGTACTCCCTTTTTTACTTTTCTTTGATTTAAAAAAAAAAAAAAGGGTGGTGGGAGAGAAGAAGGGTGCTTAGCAAAAGAGAAAAAAAGAGAAAGATCAAAAGAAAGAAGGGTGGGGGGACACAGAGGACCCCTGGCCGTCAAATACTTACCACTTGTTTCTGTTTGAGGGGCTTGACGCAGAAAGTTCCATCTGTGTGCTGGAATGAAAGAGAACAGTTATGACCTGGAAGGAGGGGCAAGAAGGTACCAGGTGTTCTTGGTTACTGCTCTCAATTACATATGCGTGCGATTACAGATTCCTCACACCCGCAGGGCCTTCCAAGTATCCAGTCTGACCTTTCCATTTTAAGAAGAGGAAACTGAGGCCTCGGGAGCTGCAGGTCACACAGCAAGTTGGCAGCAGGGCTGCAACTAGACCCCAGGGTAGCCTCCGGCTTGACCACAGCCTCCGAGCCAGACCCATCCTGCTGCACTCAGGCAGCCGGCAGACAGGGCTGCCCGCGTCCCCACACAAAAGCCAGTTAAAAGTAATAAAGTGAGGGGCGCCTGGGTGGCTCAGATGGTTAAGCGTCTGCCTTCGGCTCAGGTCATGATCCCGGGGTCCTGGGATCGAGTCCCACATCGGGCTCCCGGCTCAGCGGGGAGCCTGCTTCTCCCTCTGACCCTCTCCCCTCTCATGCTGTTTCTCTCTCGCTCGCTCTCTAAAAAATAAATAAAATCTTTAAAAAAAAAAAAAGTAATAAAGTGAGGCCCTGTGAAGTTACTCACCTTTTCGAAAGTGCCCAGCAGTACATGGCAATGGCCAAAATACTCTGAAAAAAAAAAAAAAGGCACATGGATGAGGAAGAAAGCCCAACACCACACTTTGATGCCCGTCTACCTTCCCCGATTCCCCGTACCCAGCAAACCAACGCTCTGGGGTGTGAGGAGAAGGGGCACATTCTGTGACCCATGCTGCTCTCGTCCGCCTGAGGAGCACGCGGGGACGTAGAGACCACCTGCCTGATCCCGATGGAGAGGGTCTGTTGTTCGTGCACCACCAAAGGGCAGTGTGTACAGCGAAAAGAAGACAGAAAGTGCCCATTACCGTCTCCTTCATCCACCACGGCGTGGACCACTAAAGGGTAAACCTCTCGGTCCAGATCAAAGCCAAGCTGAAGGGAGAGAAAAGGAGAAAAAAAAAAAAAAAAAAGGACTTAACATGTTGAAATGGCACAGTAGTCCATCAGGGAGGGAGGTGTCGTCAAGAAGCATTAACTTCGGGGCGCCTGGGTGGCTCAGTCGGTTAATCGTCTGCCTTTGGCTCAGGTCATGATCCCAGGGTCCTGGGATCAAGCCCCGCATCAGGCTCCCTGCTCAGCGAGGAGCCTGCTTCTCCCTCTCCCTCTGCTGCTCCCCCTGCTTATGCTCTCCCTCTCTCAAATAAATAAAATCTTAAAAAAAAAAAAAAAAGCAGCAGCATTAACTTCATCTCTGCTCTGGTTCGTCAACCTCGTGACCACCTAAGTCTGTTTCATTGAAGGCCACGGTTTCTTTCTTTCTTTTTTTTTTTTTTTTTTTAAGATTTTTATTTATTTGCGAGAGAGAGAATGAAAAACAGAGAGCATGAGAGGGAAGAGGGTCAGAGGGAGAAGGAGACTCCCCACTGAGCAGGGAGCCCGACGTGGGACTCGATCCCAGGACTTCAGGATCATGACCTGAGCCGAAGGCAGTCGCTTAACCAACTGAGCCACCCAGGCGCCCTCCACGGTTTCTTTCTAAAGCCTTGTGGCTATAAAATCCTCTAACTTGCAGGTGCTTTTCTCTGAGCATGGCTTTCTCCAAGTATCTGAGGTGAATGGGCTACTTTGGAACAGAAAAATTAACGACATCAGGTATCTCTTAAGGGCGTGAAGGAGTCATAGGGCTGAAGGACAGTGTGGCCTCGGAGCTTCCGGGGAGCCCAGGCACTGCTGGCCGTAGTCTGGACGAGGCCCTAGGCCCCTCTGGGTCCACGTGAGGAAGCTGCCCCTGCCCCTCCGGCCAGCAGCCTGCCGCCTGGTCCAGAGGCCGCTCACCTCCTCCTCCGGCCACTCGGAGGGGTCCACGGTGTGGGAGGGCAGGCAGAACTGCTGACACACCCCTCGCTTGTAACGCACCGTCTCCGACTGCAGGCTGTTGTCTCTGGGGAGGTAGCTGTGGAGCAAAGAGGGAAGCAAAGCGAAAGTCAGCAGCGAGCCCAGACAGAGGGGCCACTTCCTCTGTCCCACGCCTGGTCTCAACATCAGCAGGTTCTGGGTACAGAAAAGGAAAGGAAAGAAAATATTTCCCTTATCATCCATTTCCTTTGCTCTTGCTCCGTCATGCCGCTAAACTTATCCATTCAACCCACCCATCCGCAGAAAGGTCGCTTAATTGATGTTTAACAGCATCTTGATGAAATGAAAGGTTCCGCGGCCACCTGCCACTGCACAGGATGGCACAATTTGCAGGGAAAAGGTAAAGAGGTGGGGCTCTGGGACGAAAATCCAAATTCAGGAGCAAGATCTCACCTGGCGGTGGCAGCAGATTTCCGTCCACGGACGAGTGTGGAAGGCGTGGACCCTCACCCGTGTGGGAAGGACGCGGCTCACCTGGTCTCTGGTTCTCACCTGGCAATCCCATTCTGGAACTCTTCCGTGGCCTGATAGTAGATGGTGATGGCCACCCGAGCGTCAGTGTCAAAGGTGAACTCCACGTTGTAGCGGACTTTAGCTCTGCCAACCTCTTCTCCAGGGGTCTTTACCTCCTCCGCACACCTGGGAAACCACACAGACTCAGCATTTGGGGGATAGCAAATCAGTATTTTTAGATTTATCTTTTTTTTTAACTTAATACATTGTGAGCTTCTCTCCATGGCCATAGACTTTAGGCCTCCATCTTCATTCTGAATGCTGGCCAAGTCCCTCATGACACTGTGGGGGGGCATTTCGGTGATGTCTGATACTTCACAGCGCTAGTGAACGCTTGGGCATTGGCCAGAATTTTTTTGTTTTTGTTTTTACTGTAATTGAAATTACTACTCACATAGTTTACATAGTTTCCACAAGGCCTGTCACAAAAGCAGCAGCCCCCCCCCCCCGCCTCCTCTTCAGAAACCATCTCTACCTCTTTTAGCTGATCGTTTTGGCATTTACCTGCATGTTTCTACAGAACATGCTCACACGGTTCTTGACTTTTCAGTTTCAGGTGTTATCCACAGACTTCCTACCATGGGAGCCAGGTTTTCTTTCCCTTTCCTCTCGCTGCCCCATATAAGTACGCCGCCCCCCAGTGCATACTTCATGATTCTGGTAGCTCAGTACCTTCGTGTCTGCATTACTGCGATTATATTCACATGATCCCCAACCTAGCCACAGAGTAATCGCTGATTATTTGTCTTTTCCTGCATCAGTTTTTCTTGGGAGTTTGGGCTCATTTCCTTTTTCAGTGGCTCAGTTTTCTGTGTCTTTTATCACCCACCCAAACCCTAGCCCTCTGCTGGCTGGTTAAATCTCTCTCCATGTTCAGAAGCGCCAGGTGCTCCGTGCATTTCTTCTTGAGGAGGTGCCCAGGGGACCCCAGGCCTGCTGCGTGCCTGCACACAGCCTCCAGGGACCACCCTCCCCCATGACCCTGGGAAGTCCCCGCCACCTCCTTCCCGCATCTCCTAACTTCTTCCTCAGGGTACGCTTTCCTTGTGGCAGGGCCCCTCTTCCACTAGGATGTGTCGAAGGGACAAACTCTTTGAGAGATTTTATTCTACAGTCATACTACATTGAAAGTTTGGTTGAGTAAGGAGTTCCAGGTTATACTTCTAAAAAGCCATTTGAAAGCATTGCTGCATTATCTCTCAGCCTCTAGTGTTGCTCCCAAGAAGAAGCTATTCTGATTGCTGACCCTGTTTTCCTTTGATGTAGGGCCTTTGCCTTATCATCCATTGACCTGGGCGCTCCAGTGGTCCTTGTCATTTAGAAACTCAGGCCCTCTGGTTCTGGGAAATTCTCTTAAATTAGTTATGTCATTAATGATGATTTCCTTCCTTCTATATTCTCTGTTTTCTTTCCAGAACCATTAGTTGGATGTGGGACCTTGTACACTGGCACTCTATTCTTTGTATCTTTCCTCTTTTCTGTATCTCAACCTTTTCACCCCCATTTTCTGGAATGTTTCAACTTTTCCTCTTCCATTCTATTGGCTTTTTCATTTCTGCTACTATGTTTTTAATTTCTGAGTCTTTTTTTCCCCTGTTGGTTTGTTCTGCCATAGTCTTTCATATCATGGGCATTCCTTACACATCTAAGAATCTTTGGTTGTCTGCTCATATTTAAGAAATTTAAAACCCCAGAGACGCCTGGGTGGCTCAGTCGGTTAAGTGTCTCCTTCGGCTCAGGTCATAATCCCAGGGTCCTGGGATAGAGCCCCACATCAGGCTCCCTGCTCAGCGGGGCTAGGGTTTGGGTGGGTGATAAAAGACACAGAAAACTGAGCCACTGAAAAAGGAAATGAGCCCAAACTCCAAGAAAAACTGATGCAGGAAAAGACAAATAATCAGCGATTACTCTGTGGCTAGGTTGGGGATCATGTGAATATAATCGCAGTAATGCAGACACGAAGGTACTGAGCTACCAGAATCATGAAGTATGCACTGGGGGGCGGCGTACTTATATGGGGCAGCGAGAGGAAAGAGAAAGAAAACCTGGCTCCCATGGTAGGAAGTCTGTGGATAACACCTGAAACTGAAAAGTCTCTGTCAAATAAATAAATAAAATCTTAAAAAAAAAAAAAAAAGAAATTTAAAACCCAAAGGCGCCTGGGTAGCTCAGTCAGTTGAGCGTCTGACTCTTGGTTTTGGCTCAGGTCATGATCTTGGGATCCTGGGATGAGCCCAGGGTTGGGCACTATGCTCAGTGGGGAGTCTGCTTCCCCTTGCCCTCTGCCCCTCCCCTGGCTTGTGTGGGTGCTGTCTCTCTCTCAAATAAAATATTCATTTGAGAGAGAGAGAGACAGAGAGAGCACAAGCAGGGGGAGAGGCAGAGGGAGAGGGAGAAACAGACTCCCCACTGAGCTGGGAGCCCGACACGGGGCTCAATCACAGGACTTGGAGATCATGACCCGAGCTGAAGGCAGACGCTTAACCATCTGAGCCACCCAGGCACACTAAATAAAATAAAATCTTAAAAAAACGAAAGTTGAAAGCCCTAATTGGAACTCTGAGTGCATGGTGTAGTTTGGGGACCCTGGGCTTCCCCAGGGACTGATCTGGGTCTTTGGAGGAATCTCAAGGCCAGTCTCTTTGGTCTTCCCATCCGGGAGGGTTCTACTCCTCAGAGACAGTGTTCCTCTCTTTGGACGAGGGCCTGGGGGCAGAAGGTGTGAGGGCGGCAAGCTGGAGGGTTCCACATCCAGTGTACCTAAATTTACTTAACCCCCATTTTTAGTACTGAGTTCAACTTCAGCTGTGCCTGGGTCCCCTGAGTCCAGGGTCTCTGTTTTAACTTTTCCATTGAGAATCGTCTGCCAGCCTTCCGCCAGGGCGTGGGGAGGGCAACTCTGGCTGTGCAGCATAGCGGGGGATCGGACAGCCTCTTCAGCATGCTTCCCACCAATCCTCTTCATTTTTGCCTCCCATCTTGGTGTCCAGAGGCCCTGGTACTGCCAATTCCTGAGCCTTCGGGGGTAACGGTTTAACTGGGTGACTCTCAGCTTTTCCTTCTGCTCACTCAGGATTCTGATCTCCAGGGCCTGCTAAATTATTTAACACTGGCTTTTGTTCTAGTCCCTAAACCGCACTGCTATGGCTTCTTTCCCATCCCCCCAGGTCTTCTGGATTAATGCTTTTAAAAAATACTAGTATTAGTGGGTTTTGACTGGAAGCAAAAGATGTTCAATCCTCCATCTTTACCTGGAAATCTGTGAATCAGAATCTACCCTATTCCCGTAATCTTGGAAAAACAGAGCAAGAACACCCTTCACTCTAACGGTTATTGAACAGCAGGTGTTTTTCCTCCTATTATCTTGTTGAATCCTGACAACAGCCAAGAAAGGTAAAGTGTGGTGTTGCTCTCTAAGCTCAGGGACTTATGCGAGCACGGTGCTCAGTGCTTGCAGAGCTGGGAAGCAGGGTGGTCTTCGGCTTCCAGGCGGGGTTCTGCTAGCGCCTCCCAGCACTGCAGAGTCTGCTGGAGTGTGGCCCTTGAGCCATAGCCACGTGTGATGAGAGAGAAACACAGTGCAGAGAGTGGCCTCAGGAGCCTCAATCCATTCTGCTGCCTCGGGGACTGCCCCAGGGAGGGTAAAGCGCCCCCGGGAGGGCGAGCCCCCAGCTGCAGGCTGCTCCCCAGCAGAGCACCTCCCTCTGAGGCTGCCTGGTCCCCAGAGTGGACTCCGGGGCTGGGGGAATAGTTGGGGAAGCAGTCAAAACTTCAGGGACAAATGAAATATAAAAATGAAGAGAGAAAGACAGAAAGTAAATTAGTGGTTGCTTAGGTCTGGAAGAGAGTTTTGAGGGGGGAATGTGGAGTCACCACGAGTGAGTCTAGGGTCTCTTTTGGGGGATGACGAGAATGTTCTAAAATTCGATGGTAGTGATGATTGCACAACTCTGAATATACTAAAAACCACTGAATTGTACACTTTATTTTATTTTTTTTTAAGGATTTTTATTTATTTATTTGACAGAGAGAGAGAGAGCACAAACAGGGTGAGCAGGAAAGGAAGAAGCAGGCTTCCCGCTGAGCAGGGAGCCCGATGTGGGGCTCAATCCCAGGACCCTGGGATCAGGACCCGAGCCAAAGGCAGACGCTTAACCAAATGAACCACCCAGGCGCCCCTGAATTGTACACTTTAAATGGGTGAATTGTACAGCATGTGAGTTTTATCTTAATAAAGTTGTTATATTAAAACAATTATCTGAGAGAAATAAACTTCCTAATGTTAACAGGACTGACATCTTCCGTGTCCATTTAGAAAAATCTGGGACCCGTCATTTGCCCTAGCCAAATCTGCCTTCCCAGGGGACCAGCGAGTGCATTAGCAGACTGGCTATCTGCAGCATCAGTGTCAAAATTACACTATCTTAGGGATCGCACAGAGAAGGCAAGTGTTGATGATCATTAATGTTGATGATGATGATTAACCAACCAGCCGAGGGCACTACGAGTTCCTCAGAGGAAGGACACATGAGATAAAGAGTAAATGTAAGCAATAAAATAAGGATTTTATATTCCAACTTCAAATATCCCATTTTTCCCTAGGCTTGCTGAAGCAGTGGCAAAATTCAATTGTTCCCCCAATAATTCTTCTTTTTTTAAAAAAAATAATAAAACAAGGATAATAAGGACTGCTTCCAGGAAAGGGAAAATCCTTCACAAACACAGACGCCAAGTTCTGAACAATCTAGATGCAGGAAGACCTAATCTCCGAGGCCGGGGCTGCTCGGTCAGTGCCAGGGCGGTTCACGTCCCTGAGCCCCGGGGGATCAGACTCCGGGTCTGGCAGAAACTGCTTCCCAAGTCTCTGGGGGGAGTCGGCTGCGCTGCACCTAGAACCTGGCCTGAGCCCCACCCCAGGGGAACTTACTTTACGAGTCTTAGTGTGTCCTTCCGGATGTTGATCAGGCTTCTCAGAGTCTTCACGGGCTCTTGGGGAGGTGGGGCAGCATAAGGAAACTGTCAGAAACAAAGTGGGAGAAGGCAGTGTGTTTAGAGAGACCATAACTGTCCCCTGCTGGCACAAAGCCTCATGGCTGACAAAGAACAGCCTTTCGAGGTGAAATGGGAAGGCCCCACTCTCCTAACTGAGGACACCAAGACCCGACATGTTAAGTGAACTTGCTCAAGGTCACAGCCAGTGGGAGAACGGGGATTCGATTTGGCGTCAAAAGGGCTAGATTTATCTGCTTTTTCCATTGTAGGCAGCTTATTTGAGTCAGCATTCAAAATGTGGATAACTAATAAAAACTCCTACTGAAGTTCCAAATACCAAAGGACACACTGTGGCCGAGTTAATCACAAAAGGCTTTTCCATCTGACCTGAGACAACAGGGAGCCAGACCTGCAAGGTTTTTCCTTCAGTGAAGCCACATGGTGTCTTCGGAATTTAGGAACTGCAAATAAAAGAGAACCCCATCATGTGTACAGAGCTGAGGCTGCAAACAGTGAAGAACAAATTTTCCCTGCAGCTGGTTATATAAAGCAGAGTTCTTGAAAATGTGAGCCAAGAGCTATTTTGGGGTCATCAAAGGTTTATGATTGTCATTTACCTTATGCTTTCACTCTTTCCCCGTTGAGATGTGGAGTTCTGCATGATGATAATGAGATAAGGAAGGGGACGCAGTAGAAAATTTAAATGGGGTTTGCTTTCAGACAATTAAGAATGATTTTAACGCTGCCAGTATTGTTCTAGTGTTATCTGGACAATAAACATGTTTTACACATAATTCACAGAAAACCCACCGACCAGTCTTTGTAGCTTGGCAAAACTGTGGTACTCCTAGCTCTAGAACTGTCTACCTCCTAGTGCTGGGATCAGAAAATAGGACACTGACATGATCCTCTAATTGTGCCTTCACAGATTTTTGCTGAATGTGGTTCTTTTTCTTGGGAAACATAATTTAACCTACGGTACATCTGATTTTATGTATTTAATATGATTGCTGATAATTCACTTGTATGAATGTGACCCTGAAGTAAATACATTCCGTCTACCTTATGTGCATTCAGATTACCCACTTTGTGGGTATTATATAGCAACACTAAATGTGTTCATTGATACATTAAACATATATTCTCTTAAAATATAGGACTGTTGGTTTTTCTAGTTACAAAGCAATACATGTTCAAGTAGAAAATCTGAAAAACACACAAAAAATACAAAATCGGCTACAATTTCACCACTCGGCAATACCAAAGTTAACACTGCAGAATGTGTCTTGGAGAGATAGGCCTCCATTCCCCCATCCATCCATCTCCTCACCTATCCTTCTCTGTATCTAGGCACGGTTTCAAACTGTGCCCACTATTTTATTCTCTTTTTCACTTAGAAAGATGTGGTAAACATTTCAAAAGTCTATAATCAGACATGACTACACACGTTGGAGAAAGGGACATAGTTTAATCAATTTCATAGTATTCAATGTTTTCCATTGGTTTTACTCGTTTTTCGTTGTCTTCTTCTTTTTTTTTTTTTGGCCGATACAAATGTTGTGGTGAGTGCCTTGTTCCTACATTTCTGCATGCTTGTTTGATTACTTCCTTAGGACAAATTCCTAGAAGTGGAATTACTGGATCAAAGAGTAAGCATATTTTTAAGACTTTAAAAAATATTTTGCCAAATTGTTCTCCAGAAAGCTGATTCCAATTTTGCTCTCCCACTGGCAGCATACGAGGGGGCTTTTCTATAGGAAAGCTGCAATTCTAGTTCAGATCCTCTCTGTGGCCCATTTCCCCACCCCCCACTTCCCTAGGCTGTCACACTAAAGGAATTTAAAACAATTTTAAAATAAGCTTAAGCAAAAAGTAATTAGGCAAGAAAATCCGACACAAATGCTAGTCTATTCTAAAGCCAAAATAAATGACTTTGGGATTAAAATTTTTTTCTGGAGTAGCAAAGTTAATCATATTCATTTGCACAGGTACTTGGGAGTTATCCATAACTCCTACCTGAGTTTTAAAAAAAAGGCGATTCTTCTTTCATTCTTCACCCTTCCCCCCCCCCAAAAAAGAAAAACAAAAGGAAAGTGAAAAAGAAAGATGAGTGTTCTTCGTCTTCCACTTAGAATAATCCTGGAGCTTCAGTTCTCTGTCAGAAAGGTACTGACCTCGAAGGTTTGTCCATTAGTCTCCGGGCAGACCAAACTTTATTCTTTGTCCACTAGTCTTTACCTAAAGCCTGTCTTCATTATGAAAAGTGCCACAGAATTCCAGAAACTGCATTTAGGTATCCTTCATGAAGCTGCTCAGTTTATATACTCCAGAATGATGTCTGAGAAATGGGATGGCATTCCATAAGGCCATCTTGAGCTTGAGGCAAGAAGTCAGGATAGGCCTTACAGAAGGCCTGGCAGTCTTCCTCCATCTGTGGACCTGGTGGCATATTTTGTACAAGATTGAAAAGGCCATCTCTTTCCCTTGACAGGCCTAGTTGTGCCAAGGTTGTATCTGGGAGAAGAAACTCTGTTTGGTCCTTCCTTATCACCATTTACTCCTTAATTTAGTGGATGTTTACTGAGTATCTACTATGTGCCAGGATCAGGCTGGGTTCTTTATAT